CCTATAGTCAAAATTTCTGTCCTCGTGATCAACAAGTGTGTGTGTGTGTGGGGGGGGGGGATAGAGAAATAATGACTCTATAATTGCACGTAGGAGCTCATTTCACAAATGAAGGCTATAACTCCATCCCACCCACTCATTTTCTATTGCCGACACAACAATAAGGACATCTGTGCATGTATTTCATTCAAACAGACATTGGCTAATAGCGCAAATAAATGCTGCCGAATAAATTCACAACTATCTAAGGGAGGGAAACTTCAATAAAAGAACAAAAACTCAAAAAGATACTATTTATTAGATAATCTTTTCACCCATCATCGTCCAGGGCCCCACTGCAAAGCAGCGCTTATCCACTGAGCAGGCTACCCTGGCTAAAGCAAACAGAAGTATTATTATCACCTAGCAACAAAGAAATATCATCTCCTCACCCACTGCAGAGGAAAAGCACCCTGCTGGCTGAGCGGAAGACCGTTGGCGACGGCTCCCACTTCGGTCGGACGAGCTGCGCGTACCAGGCTCCACCCCACCTCTGAATCACACCGCGTGCAATCGCCCCTCCCACGCAAGGAAGCATTACGGACACGCAAGCCGCGAGACGACACTGACAGGGAGACACTCCCATGTTTCAGAAGTGGTCCACACGAAGAAGTCATCAGAGACACGAGTGCATCATGCTGAAGACACAAAGCCCTCGTTAAAGACTAATTACAGTATAATGAGCTCGAGCCTGACACATTCTGGCTGTCGAAGGAAACCACGTTTTGTCTCTATTCTCCGGACAAATTACCTTACCTGGTCCACTTAGAGACAGGGGAGGTTCATTATACACACTGACAGGGAGACACTCCCATGTTTCAGAAGTGGTCCACACGAAGAAGTCATCAGAGACACAACTGCATCATGCTAAAGACACGAAGCCCTCGTTAAAGACTAATTACAGTAAAATGAGCTCGAGCCTGACACATTCTGGACGTCTCCACAAGGAAACCATGTTTTGTCTCTATTCTCTGGACAAATTACCTTACCTGGACGACTTACAGACAGGGGAGGCTCATTATATACCAGGGGAGGAGGGACTGCCTCATCCGGAAGGCACGAATCAAGACTTACAGAGACTTATTACTGTATGAGTCTGTCTCATTCTGGCTGTCGAAGGAAACCATGTTTTGTCTCTTTCCTCTGAACAAATTACCTTACCTGGTCCACTTACACACAGGGAAGGTTCAGTATACACCAAGGGAGTCTCTACAAGGAAACCTCGTTTTGTCTCCTCTTTTCTCTCGACAAATTACCTTACCTGGTCCACTTGTAGACAGGGGAGGATCATTATATACCAGGGGAAGGAGGACTGCCTCATCCTGATGGCACAAAGCTCTCATTAGAGACTAATTACTAATTACAGTACAAGCCTGATGCATTCTGCCCGTACAAGGAAACCACGTTTTGTCTCCTTTGTCTGGACAAATTACCTTGCCTGGAACACTTACACACAGGGGAGGTTCAGTATATACTACAGGAGGGGTAGGAAGGTCAATCCAGTCATGTTCTTCCACTGGTGAAAATGAAGTGCCTTAAAAGGGTTACAAGGACTCTGCTGCAAGGCTACAAAAATGCAATATGGTGTTGACAATTTAATGATGTATATGGAAAAACAACAGGGTTCAAAATGAGAAAAGACCTACATGTATATCATGAACAATGTAACCTGTGTTTTTTTTTGTTGATTTTATGTGAGTTTTCCGACTAAACTTGATAGCTACCTTCAAAACTCGCTTCCATCCACAACAGCAACAGATTCACAAAGGCAAACAGGACATTGAAATATGACATTGTGCAGTTGGCAGCTTTTTCCTCTGCCTTTGTCTATTCAGGATTTGAACCTTTATCTGGATACAACTCTGAGCTACATTTGGTTCACCTGAGGGCTAAAACTACAACAGCCGATTTCAGCACCAAGGACAGGACACTGTTGGACCCTAATTTTCACCCAGATATCTCAGGGCTTGAAATTCACTTTACGAAATAAGTGTACTGCTGCACCCAATCTAAAAACAATTGGGTGCACAAAAATTTTGGGGTGCACCATATGCCATAGAGTAGAATGTCAGCCAAACCAAAAGTTAAAAATTTCCAATGAACCCAAATTCCAACTTGGATTAAATTGGACTCGGAACCAATACTATAGGTCTCCACGTTGTGGCCTTGCCCTTTACATGACTTCCCTCCCTGTAAAGTGGAGTGACAACGCCTAATCTGTCTATGTACCAAAAAAAGAACTACGGATTTGGTGCACCAATTAACATGACAACATCTGCACATTTGCCTCCAAGAGCTGTTAAATTTTTTTTAACGCAGGACAGACACCTGGTGTTTCCTGGATAACATCGTTAACATGGAGATCGTTAATTAGCATGCACATCGTTAGCTTGAACATCGTTTGTGCGACAGAATAATTAGGACGTTTGAAGTGCTCTTCCTTCCCCTGAAGCCGTTATATAAGGCCACAACAAGCTATTCTGCTGGTTCTTGTATTTGAAATTTATCAAATATGAACTGGAATATTCATATGGAGGGAAAGACTGTAACTTGTTAACAGTTTTTAGGGAGTGAATAAAAATCAGATTCTTGTTGAATTCCTCCTAGAGATTTTCTACTTTTTGACAATAATGTACCATGTAATTATGTATTATGTATAATGTATTTGATAAGGGTATGTATGTGTAATCAAGCGAGGGGAATTGGTGTGACATATTGAACCAAAGATCATCGTTATACGATGTTAAGATCAGGTTCACTCTGCACTGATTAGAAAAAAAAAATCATATAAAATTATATAATATTAAAAACTCGTAATTTCCAAATTATGGTACAGTGGAACTCGAAGCACAAATAGGACATCATCACTAGACAGCTTTAAATAACTTTAATTAACTGTGCAAGGATTGGGTGTGACAAGTCATTCGGTATGACATAGCTAGATGCCGCCACGCCGCGTGTCTGCAAAGCCAGTGTGTTACATGTATGCCGAAGAACGATACAGCTATACAGATACAGTCACATTTTCCTCTCAAGTTTTTACTTTCATCTTGTTTTCTTGCTGATTCATTACTTGCAACATCCAAGAAGAACCAGAATAAATTGAAGCAGCCTGAACCAAAGCTAGCGCTCC